AGCAACTGTTGAATTTGATCTTTCAACTCTCGCATCTCCACTGGTGCCATTCTGTACGGCACCTTAGCAATAGGCGTAGTGCCTGGAGCTAAATCAATAACAAAGTCTATCTCTCGACTCGGTGGCAAGCCTGGAATTTCCTGGAATACATCCTGGAATTCCTGTACTACCGGGATGCTGTCAAGAGATACCGCAGTCGCTTCCTGTGAGTCCTCCTCAAGAACGAATAAATAAGTGCTAGGCCCTCTATCAGGTTGTGGTACAACGAGAAGATACATCTCCTGTCCTGGTATAGAAAATACAATAGACTTTTCGTAACAGTTAACCTGAGCATGGTACTGAGATAACCAGTCCATCCCAAGTATAACATCATACGAATGCATATCTAACACTAACAAATTTGCAAGAAATCGAAGCCGGCCCATATCTATAAGGATATCACCGCTATACTCTCGTAAAATTGTGCCAACTCCCAATGGTGTATAAATATTAAGAGGTTGGTCACATAACTGAGTCGTCATACCAGATAAGATAACAAAAGATCTAGACACAAAAGAATGTGATGCACCAGTGTCAAATAGTATACGAGCAGTTCTACCATGTATAGAAAACATACCCTCAATAGCCTGAGGAGCCTGCGCATTATGCGGCATGAAGTTATAAACTCTGCCATGATGCAACTGCTGTGGAGGTTGTCCCGGAGGAAATGGTGGTGCTGGAAGTGCCGGAAAATTCTGAACTTGCCCACGTGGCATCGGTGGGGCCGGTAGAGGTAACGGCTGATTAGGTCTCGGCTGCCCATACTGTCCCTGTTTAGCTTTGGGACACATCTTGGCCGGATGCCCAATCTCTCTACAGTGATAACAACGTCCCGTAAAAGGACCTGCCTGCCTTCTCTGTTGATTTCCCGACCACTGTTCCTGTCCGGTCTGAGGTATCCCACCTTGTCTACCCTGATTAGGGACTCCATCCCTCTGCACATCTAGGTTTCCTTTGTTTTTCTTCCAAGGTTGATGTCCTTGAAATCTGCCCCGATCATTGGACCTGGTACCACTGCTGCTTCCTTTCTCCACTGTCTGGTAGTCTCGGTTAGTCCGCTTATCTCCCTTGGACTTCCGGTAATCACTCCTCATCTGGCAGTGCTGTAAGGCGGCATTAACCACCTGGATATAAGTAGTATATGCCGGACTACCTAAGATCACCACTTTAATCGGCCATATCAACCCCTTCACAAAGCGGTCTCGCTTCTTTTCTTCCGTATTGACCTCCTCTGGTGCAAATAATGACAAATTAATGAACTTCTGTTCATACTCAGCCACAGTCATATCTTCCTGGTGCAGATCCAGAAATTCAGTCTTCATCGCTGATCTTACTGACATAGGAAAATACTTGTCGTCAAAGCGAGTCTGAAATTCAGCATAAGTTAATCTGGTCCTGTCTTCGACAGTAGTAATAGACTCCCACCACTGCAATGCATTGCCTATCAGCATAAACGTAGCTAGCATCTGTTTCTGCACTTCGGTACAGATTACCATCCGAAGATGACGCTCGCTCTCCTGTTTCCACTGATATGCTAACAAGACATCTGTGGACCCCGCAAATGTCGGTGGATTTCCCCGGATGAACGAGTGACGAACTTTGTCCCATGACATTGGCTGTGCCACTGGTTCAGGAACAGGTACTATCGGAGGAGGTTGCTGGTTTCGTAGAGCAGATGCTACTCCTGCTGCCACCGCTCGTGCAATGATATCAGCAACTTGAGGAGAAAATTCCTGATTCTCATTTTGAGTTGGGGAGATACTGCGATGACGGTTCGCATTCCTTGTCCCACGCCGAGACATCCTTCTTTTAAATTCAGAAAGAATCTAACGTCAGTACATTATCATGGACCGACTAAAAGAATACAAAGAACCCTAATACTTAGGCTCTAATTATCAGAATACACAACGCGGAAGTATAGTAATCACAGATCCCTAAGACACTCGAACCTGGAATGCTCTGATACCAACTGTAACACCCCCACATTTTCCACGCATAAGTTGATCAGGCTTATACACAAAAAACGAGGGATATCAAAAACAATTGGCAATATACAAGCATGGAATACAAAATGATGGAATTAAAAGAATTTAGACAGGAAAGAAACATTAAATAATACAACATCCATCCATCCTTTATTTAATGCAGTACTTCATTACAACTTGGAAATCCTACGTCAGGGATCCCTAAATATAACCCTGAGAGTTCAACGTCAAAAGTAAATAAAAACTGAAACTGAAGTATTACATAAAACTTCTACCCTGCACTGGATCGTAAGAGTAGATGAGTTCGGATGATGGTCCCACACTGCTAACCTCAGCCTTGAAACGGATACTGACCGTATCCTGAAATAACAACAATGGTGGGTCAACCCCACGAGCAAGTCCTCTCTACTATGACCCAAATCAGAGAATCAAATAAATTAATCATTATGAATCGGATGAGTACTATATCTGTATACATCCTACGGGAACTATCCGATGTATAACATGACCTCAACCAGAATAGACGGTGATCACTTAGACTCACACTAGGTGGTCAAGTGTCGCCTTTCCCTACCCGGGAAATCAGCTATTATACATGGTGCACGGTACTGACAACACAGACTATAACGAACTACACAGTGATAACACCTCGCAAAGTACTGATGAATATACTGAGCATATAAATTAGGCAACACATGCCAACACTATTAATAAATGTACCGAGAATGTCAATTTAGGCAACACATGCCAATAATATTAATAAATATACCGAGTATGTCAATTAGGCAACACATGCCAATAATATTAAACCACATACCCCGACAGCCACACATCTGTCTATCGCAACGAATGCATAAGGTATAAATGAGTCTAAACTTATTAGCCAGCTCATATGGTTCTATATGGCAACACATCCATATAATATAAATGCGACATAATTAAACAGTCCATTTATTTCCTGAAATGCACACAGCATAATAATCATGGTTTATATATCAATTAACAGTATAAACATCCTATATGATATCATGGATAATTTATCTGACTAAAACCATGGCCTTATTTAATTTAACAGTAATGTTTGATACCATTAAATACGATAATAACATTATTTATATTTAACAATGTCGTTAAATAAATCACATTAGTATCCGTACTGCGAACGAGCCAATAAATGCTTAGAAAAGATTAATCGGCCATAAGAATAAGTAACGGGTGTTAAAATAATAATTTCGTGGCCCGTTAAACCCGTAATTACCAACACAGTACCTAAAAATCCAAGTTTAAGGTTCTGGAATTTACAAAACAGGCCCTAGGGGTATTCTGGTAATTTCCAGCAGCTGTAGGGACCCCACACGCGCCCTCACGCGCCTCCCAGAGCCTCCCCACGCGCAGCCAAGCTTTCCCCACTCTCCCACGCGCCTCCACGCGCGTCTGGCATCAGCCACGCGCTCCCACGCGCGTCTGGAGAGTCCCACGCGCGCGCACGCGCTGCCACGCGCGCACTAAGGGTGCCTTGCTGACGCGGCGTCCTCCGGTTGGTTGGCTGCATCAGCTTTCCTGCATGCGCGCCCCACCGGATCAATCCACCTGCATCTCCTCCATCCAACGTTCCCTGATCCGGGTGTACCGCGGTATCATGGACCGCGATGCACCGGATCAATCAGACTCCATTAATGGCCAGGATGCGCGCGTACACCCTCCTATGGTGCGCCGCGTCGCACCGGATCACTCCGGTCGTCTCCCCCACTGCCGGCGACCGGAAAACTCGCCGGAAGGTCGCCGGAAATTGCAGAAAATGCCCGGAAAAATCTAGAAAATTCTAGAAAAATCCCTAAAGTCTTATTTAATTATTTTTAGCCATTATTAGTTTCATAGGACATTAAATAAATATATACCATCCTATATAATTAAAATTCCATTAATTTAATAAAATAAAATTAATAATTTATTAACCTCCAAACCTTGGCTCTATGCATAAAAATAAGCTAAACAATTAATTTATTAATTCAAAGGGGAAAAGTAGATAATAACTTGCCTTTTTGGATTTAAAATAAATCCGCCGGTCTGCGCGTAGTCGGGTAAAATTGCCTACACCGGTCCAAGCTTCTTTCTCTTTCTCTTTTCCTTTCACTCTTATAAAATAGCTCTCTAGAATTTATACTTTGCTTCTAACTCCCTTTATTTTTTCTAAGGCAAGCTAGTTAATTTATACACAAAATATATAATATAAATATTACAAATATCTAATTTATAATAACTTCTCACCCATTTCTCATATTCCTACCTATATGGCTTTAAGACAATGCTATCTTTAATCAAGATATTTGATCCACCATTCTACCATAGTAAATGAAATTCTATCCTAGTATTTAATTTTCCATCATTACATTGATTTATTATAACTATTATTATTATTATTACTAATATTATTATTAATAAATTTTTTTATTATTATATGATTATTATATTATTATTTTTTTTTATTATTATTATTAAACTAATATAATTATTATTATTACAAAAGAATACATTATAACATCATAATACTATATAACACAAATATAATACTTTAATTAGCTAATAATGATTAATATAAGCATAACCAACAAATAAAATTATTATTAATAATACATGCATAATTAAATGAATAAATTTACTATTTTAACATACACAATTACTTTACATGCACAATTAAATGAACATAATATAATAATGTAGTATGCACAAATAAATAAAATTAATTAACCTAACACAAAATTAATTTAAATACATTCTTTAAAATTACGGGGTATTACACCATTGGATACACTGCTCCAGGTAATTGGCCTTTGAAAAGAGCTTTAAAAACCTATTTTCTACTGCTAAGATTAGCTTCTTTTTTCTGGACAATATCGTGCATGATTGGATACATAAATTTTGCAGAGCTTGCTTATACAATGGAAGTCAATGAAAAATGTGATGTGATGTGTATAGCTTTGGAAGCCATCCAGGAGATTTCATCACATTTTTATCAACATCAACATCATCATCATCAACTGCCCATCATTCACTGCTGAAAGATGTGTTGGACCAACGTCTCTCACAGCCGATGAATGAAGTTGCGGAGGATGTGGTCTTTATGATGAAGCTAGCTCTTGCATGCCTGCTATCCAGTCCACAGTCTCGGCCAACAATTCAACAAGCTTCTCAACAGTTATCAGATCAAAAGCAGCCTTTACCAGAGGGGATCCACACGATAACATTTGGACAACTGTCTGATTTAATGTAATTTTGATTTCCTATTTGTGTTTCTACATTTTCTCTTCTCCTAAGAATTCTTATTGTTGCCTCTGTATCAATGACTTAAGAGCTGATTCAAGATAGAATGAATCCCCACATATGGTTTAGAATGATGTCAATAGGACCCCAAAAAAATGCTAGTTTAATATGCATCATGTGTGTATAAAACAAGTAATGCTTTCAGAAAACAGTTTTATTAATTTCAGGGTTCAGATATAGATACAGGACTACTAAAAAAGAAAACACTTTCAGAAAGGAAATAGAAATGGATAGAGTGGTTAACTCAGCAACAAATCATGACCACAAGTAAAGTTTCAGTATCAATAAAAAGTATGCTTCAATCTCAATTCCATTGAATTTTTGTGTAAGTGTGTAAATTGCTTCTTTGTGAAACTGCTATGGACATGCTTGTAATTTGGGTGGCTGTTATATCACCCTTTCATCGCGTTCTCTGGGCGGTACTGTTGGGAAATGGGCATTTTTAATTTGGAAGCATGTAGACTGGACAGATGTAGAGATGAACACCCATTTTCAAATATAGCAGGAATATAATATAGATACATATATATATATAGGCATAGGATCATACCCTTGTAGACCAATCTCTTTGAATAGATTCTTAGACCTTAAAGCTTTGATCCCTCTCCACACCAAGAGCGAGCAAGTTATTACATGGTTTCGGGACTACTGATCCTGAATCAGTCACCAATGGACATGCATGTGTCGGAACGTACAAGTTTTATTCAGCCTTTTGCTTACATGTCAAATAATGATTAGCTAGGATCAATAGCCCTGGGACCATCTAAAAATTTCTCCCTCACCTTACGGTCCTCACATTAGATATACATGTAGCATATATTAATGTACATACATATATTAATATAGTATAATGATAGCTTTAGTAAAGCTACCAAAGTAAATTTTCTTTAGTTCTTCCAGTATATTGAAGTAAATGGCAAATAGAGGGTAACACTAGACAGAACAGAAACATGCGGCCAGAAGAAGAAAGAAGGAAGAAGGGAAGAAAGAAAGAAAAGGAGGAAGACAGAGAAGGTTAGACAGAAGGAGAAACAAAAAAAAGGAAGGAAAAAAAAAAATGGCAGTAAAGCTCAAAGGGGTAGGTTTTCTTCTCTCTTAACTTTGTGAAAAATTTATCCAAAGTGATGAAATGTTATAAAGCTATTTTCCCTCACATGAAAATTATAAGATTTAATTGTCAGATTATTTTATTTAGCATGAAATATGGTTGTGAATTTTAAACCCTGAATTGGCCTCCTGATTGAAAGTATGAACTACGTGGTACATTTTGGGATTTAGAGCTGAGAAATATATTTTGATTTGGTATTTTTAGTTTAAATTTTGGTGATAAAATGATTGGACAAGCAAAAGGACTTTATTTGACATTTAATGAATGATATTTGAACTTATTGTGAATTTTTTAAATTTAGTATATCATGCTGCGTAAATTGTTATAGATCAAAATTTTGGCTATTGTTCTTCTTAAAGTCTGTACTGATGGGTTGATCTATTTGTCTTGATAAAGTGCTAGTATTCAAATATGGTATGTCAGTTTTTAAATGACCTCATTTTCATGTGATTTGGATTTAATAGAATATTTTTGACAAATTTTGAACCAAATGTGCTTTTGCTGAAAAAAATTCAGGGCAACATACCATTGAGTAATTTTATGTCATATTTATTCATTTATTTAAATTTTTTTTTTTTTTTTAATGAGATTTTAGGAAATGAAAGTAGACTCTACAAGGGTTGTCCAGAATTTTACTTTCTCCAAGACTATGAAATACGTGACTTATGGCGAAATTTCTAAGTATGAGTCTGACGTTGGAAAAAGGGAACTGTTTGAATACCATACTTTAGTATTGATTTGGGTCTTTAACTCTTTATGTGCCTGGCATTAAATAGGTAGGGTAAGAAACTCCCTTGGGTTGAAAGAACCTAAATGGCCCGGGTTTAACGAGGAGCGAGTGTTCACGGTCACTGGATTCAAGCCCCTAAGGCCAAAGGAAGGGGGCGGTGGTTGTGATTATTGGTTTTTGAAGTTTCTAGAGTTAAAATGTATTATTCTGCTATTCTGATTTTGAGATGATTCTATGAAGTATTGCAAATTCATTTATAAAGAAAAGGGTTGGCGAATATGTTATTTTTTATATTCAATGTTTACTTATTTACTTCTACTACTAAATTCCAATATGTTCAGTTCACCTTTTGCTCTTCAAACTTGCTACATTATCAAACGACGTAAAGAAGTCAGATTAGATTTTCTTAAAATTCGAAAACCTACTAGGCTTTTGAACTCACTCCTTTTTTCTAAAAAAAAAAAAAACCATTTTCATGTATTAGGCAAGGTCAGTAGGTGACAAATTTTAAAGTGACCAAGAAGTGTACAGTAATTTTAGTTTGACGTATTAGATTGTTATTTATTTTTTGACATTGTCAAGTATTATTTGAGTTTTGGAGCATCTTATTGTTTGAGAATTCAAATTAATCTTGATGCCTACAAGGAAATGTGAAGCACTTGATGACTACGATGAAATTGGAGTTTGGTGATTTAATTGGTAAAGTTATTTTATTTGTCTATTTACTTACTAAAATGTGATACTATAGATGACTAGTCTCGAGTGTCAAATAAAGACAAGTCATTCAAGCATTATTATCGACCATTAATTATCTTTCAACAATGACCAGCAGTGGTCCAAAAAAGTCTCACCATGACCCCCAAAATAATGATATCAATTGGGAATAGCCATTCAAAAGTTTATTTGAATGCTTTCGCTAAGATGGTGTGAAATAATTTGATAAGTTTAAAATACCGATGGATTTCCCAAGGAGTGGGGAAGCTGTTAGAGACTTTTTTTTTAAAGTGGGGAAGCTGTTAGAGACTTAATATATTAAAGTTACACCATCTCTAATAGTATACGTTTTTAGAGTAGATGGTTATTAATATGTTATTAGAGTCATGTCTACAACTCAATTAATCCAATTACTATAGGGATGAACCCAATGCGGAATATGAATCTTGATTAGTCATGTGCGGAGGGAGAGAACAGTGCAAATTGCCCCCGACCAAGTGTCATGCCCTACCCCAAGGGGCTTCATACCCTCTGAGTCCCTTTTCTTTGACCAGTATATTTGATGCATTTATGTTAGCAGCCCCTCTATTATTGGAACTGACTTCATAAGTCAGATTCTCTAACACCATCTATATATATACCTCTTCAAGCTGTTAAAGGACTCCCACCCAACCATCAAATTTACTGCCACTTGAGAAGCCAAACTCATCTACAGCAAAGTCATGGTAAGTTTATTAGAAAAAGTTCTCTCTAACCAATGTGTTTTATTCTTATTTATCTTTAGTCTATTGTTGGTCTCCTCTTCTCAATATGCTGCTGCTTCCGCAACTAATACCACGGGTGCAGTGAAGGAAGCAAAGGCTCTTCTAACATGGAAAGCTAGCCTTGACAATCAAAGCCAGTCTCTCCTGTCTTCTTGGGTTGGTGGCAGCCCTTGCAAATGGCATGGAATCAATTGTTACAGGTCAAGAAGCATCACATTTTTGAACCTTTCAAGTTATGGTTTGAGAGGTACCCTCCATAGTCTCAACTTCTCATCCTTTCCCAACTTGCACAGTATTGACCTTTTTAATAATTCGCTCTATGGGACCATTCCATCACATATTGGAAACCTCTCCAAACTCCGTTTTATTTGTCTTTCTTTAAATAAAATATCTGGGACAATTCCAACTGAAATAGGCCAACTAGCAAGTCTAAGAATCTTGTACCTCTCCAGAAACCTCATCAGTGGTTCTATACCACAAGAAATAGGAAATCTGAGCTCTCTTACTGAGCTCTCGTTGTTCAGGAACTACCTTAGAGGTGCAATCCCTGCTTCCATTGGAAACTTGCGAAACTTAACCATTCTACACCTTTACGAAACCGGACTTTCTGGATCAATTCCTTCTGGTATAGGAAACCTGACCAAGCTCACCCAATTGACCCTCCAAGAAAATCAGTTATCTGGCTTCATTCCTGCTGAAATAGGAAAGCTGAAATCCCTTTCTATTCTAAGATTGTGTGGCAACAGATTAACTGGCTCAATACCACATGAAATTGTTAACCTTACATATTTGAATACATTGCATCTAGGTGACAACATGATGTCTGGATATCTGCCACAAAATATATGCCTCTCAAGGGTATTTGTAAACTTCACCATTTTTAACAACAATTTTGTGGGTCCTGTCCCAAGAAGCCTGAAAAACTGCACTAGCCTGTTTAGAGTGAGGTTTGAAAGAAACCATCTAACTGGAAATATATCAGAAGACTGGGGCATATATCCAAATTTGAACTTCATTGACTTGAGTTATAATAAATTTTATGGAGAACTTGCTCCAAATTGGGGGAAGTGTCGAAGCTTAAAAGGCTTGAAAATCTCCCACAATAATATTTCTGGTAGAATACCAACAAAGTTTGGGGAATCAATTCAAACACTTGACCTCTCTTCTAATCATCTAGCAGGAGAGATTCCCAGGGAATTTGGTCGGTTGACTTCATTATTCAATCTTTCTTTGGGCCATAACAAATTTTCAGGCACTGTTCCATCAGAAATTGGGATGCTATCTAATTTGAGGCATCTTGACCTGGCTGCAAATAATCTGAGTGGTCCAATCATCAAAGAAATAGGAAATTGCATTGAACTACTGACCTTGAAATTGAGCAATAATAGATTTGAAGGAAATGTTCCTTTAGAGATTAGTAGTTTGTTCTCACTTCAACATCTTGATCTTAGTCAGAATTTACTTGTGGGATTTCTACCACCAGAGCTCGGAACAATGCCCCGCTTAGAAATATTGAATCTTTCCCACAATGAGCTCTCTGGTTCCATCCCACAAACTTTCAACCAAATGTTAAGCCTGACATCTGTTGACATATCCTACAATCAGTTGGAGGGCCCTCTTCCAAGCAACAAAGCCTTTCGCGAAGCTCCAACAGAAGCATTTACAAATAATAAAGGCTTGTGTGGCAACATCACTGGTTTGAAGTCCTGCCCCTCTGTGAAGATCCACGAGGCAAAAGGTAAGAAGGGTCGCCTGATCTTGATAGTGGTCTCTCTTTTAGGCAGTTTGTTTGTTCTCTTTATCATTGTGGGTGTTTTATCTTTGGTTTGGGTGAGAGTGAGGAACAAGGGAAAAAACAAGCCAGAAGATGCACAAAATGATAATTTGTTCGCAGTATTGAGCTATGATGGAAAGCTGGTATATGAGAACATCATTGAAGCAACAGAGAACTTCAACTCCAAATATTGCATTGGAGAGGGTGCCTTTGGAAGTGTATATAGAGCTGAGCTGCAAAGTGGTCAAGTTGTTGCTGTGAAGAAATTTCAAGCGTTGGAGGATGATGACAGGAATGCCAGTTTGAAAACTTTTACTAGTGAGGTTCAAGCACTAACAGATGTAAGACATCGGAACATTGTGAGGCTCCTTGGTTTCTGTTTGCATCCGCGAAATGCCTTCTTGGTTTATGAGTTCATGGAAGGGGGAAGCTTGGAGAAGATGCTAGGCAATGATGAAGCAGCAATGCAGTTTGGATGGATTGAGAGGGTAAATGTTATTAAAGGTTTGGCGAATGCTTTAGCCTACCTGCACCATAACTGCTCACCTCCAATAATCCATCGAGACATATCCAGCAAGAATGTTTTGTTAGATTCAAAGCATGAAGCAATCCTCTCTGATTTTGGCATAGCTAGGATTCTGAAGCCAGGCTCTTCCAATTGGACCTCATTTGCAGGCACCATTGGATACACTGCTCCAGGTAATTGGCCTTTGAAAACTATTTTAAAACCTATATCCTACTGCTAATATTTGGTTCGTTTTCTGGACAATATTGAGCATGATTGGACACATATATTTTGCAGAGCTTGCTTACACAATGGAAGTCAATGAAAAATGTGATGTTTATAGCTTTGGAATGGTGACAATGGAAGCACTTCTTGGAAGCCATCCAGGAGATTTCATCACATTTTTATCAACATCGACATCATCAACTGCCGGTCATACACTGCTGAAAGATGTATTGGACCAACGTCTCTCACAGCCGACGAATCAAGTTGCAGAGGATGTGGTCTTTATGATGAATCTGGCTCTTTCATGCCTGCTATCCAGTCCACAATCTCGGCCAACCATGCAACAAGCTTCTCAACGTTTATCATCTCAAAAGCAGCCTTTACCAGAGGGGTTCCACATGATAACATTAGGACAACTGTCTGATTTAATGTAGTTTTGACTTCCTATTTGTGTTTCTACATTTTCTCTTCTTAGTGGAAATAAAAGAAAGTGAAGTGAAAGGGAAGAAAATAAATTTTCTAGAAATTTTTTTTTTTTTTTGAAAAATATGTGAAATTACTATTTTGTGATTTTAATAACATGAAACTTACCACAAAAGAAAGGATAATATTGTAAATTCATAAAACTTTCTCAAGAAATCAAAATTTTCCTGTGTTTTTTGTAGGAAAATTTTACAATGAAGTTAGGTGGTTATGGGAAGTAATTTTCTCTCAAAAATTTTCTTTTCCTGCTAACCGAACTCCTAATTTGTTCAAAATAAATTCAATTTCCTTTATTTTCTCTTTGTTTCCATCTAACCAAACGGAGCCTAAGAATTCTAATTTTGGCGTCCCTATCAATGACTTAAGAGCTGTTTCAAGAATAATTGAATTTCCACATGTGGTTTAGAATGATGTCAATAGGACCCAAAGAAAATGCTAGTTTTATATTGCATCACATGCGTAGTTAATGCGCAAGACAGTTTTATTAATTGCTGGGTTGAGATTCAGATACAGGACTAATAACTCAGCAACAAATCATGACCACAAGCAATGTTTCAGTGTCAATAACAAGTAATGCTTCAATCTCAAATCGTGACTTGATAGATGTAGAGATGAACACCCGTTCTGAAATATAGCATGAATCTAATGTAGATACATACATATATATATATAGAGAGAGAGAGAGAGAGGCAGAGGATCGTACCCTTGTAGACAAATCTCTTTGTAGAGATTCTTAGACCTTCAAGCTTTGATCCCTCTCTTTTTCTTGTTCCTTTTAAGCTCCACCAACCTCAAAATTCCATAGACATCACCTCTATATACCCATAAGCAATGTATGATCGATCCATAAGCTATGCTAGTGGGAGCTATTTCAAGAGAGAAGTATATATATATGTCTTGAATGAAATATCTATATAATTTTAGAGCGCTCTAAGCACTCCCATCTTTTAGTTAGTGTGCTCCTAGCAACCCCTACAACCAACAATATATGGCATTCACCCTTGTTTAACTCATTACATTTTACCATGAAAAAAAAAAAACATGATAAGATTGGTTAGGAAAGAAAGGAAAATAGATAATATTATTATTTGTTAATTACTTGTCTGTTGGAAAAAGAAAGAAAAAAAAAATGATACTAATCATGTTTAGAAAAAAAACAAAAAGATAGTATTTTAATAAATTTATTATCATACCTCTTTTTTCATAAATTTTATCTTTTTAAAAAAATTTAGTTAAAAAAGTTAACCTTTCTTTTTCCTTTCCTCCCATCTTTGAGAGGATAAAAAAATCAACACATATAATTTATTTCCTTCTAAATTTCCTGTTTCCTTTCTTTTTCTTTAAAATTTCGTAACAAACATAACATATCATTTCCTTCCATTACCTTTCTTCTCTTTTCCTTTCAATACCATCCAACCTACTGGGCCTCAGAGGTGAGGATCTAATTTGGGCCCAAATCTTCATTGGCAAAAATGGACATCAATATTGTTAAAAAAATAAAATAAAATAAAGGGCTTCAATAATTAGCCCAGGCCATGTCATGGCCCTAATTCAATTCAACCAATTTAATTATTTTTAGTTCCAATTGACTATGTTAATTAATGAAATAACCTCTCTGTGCAAAATTAGCAAATGAATAAACAAATTATCATCAATTCAAATGCATAATTAATTATTTATTTTCACTCATTGGTTATACCCATTTGATCACTTGAAAAATCTTTTTTTTTGGGGGACAAAATAATACATATTTGGTAATATATATATATATATATAAAGCATTTTATCACAAAATATACTTTAATTTACCGGGATCAAATTAATTATCGTGGAGATAAATATATAAACGTAATTGTAAACTTGAGATTATGTTTCAAAGTCAATAACCAATGACTATTCAAACTTTCAAAGTATCCGAATTTTAGACTACATATTGTCTTCTAAATAAATCAAAGGACCAACCAGTCAAAGCAAGGCTGCGAGGGTTCATTCGTCTCTCATACTTATCGTGCATCATGTTCAATTCTTGGCAAATACGTAATCCATCTTTTATCAAAGAATTAGAACATATGAAAAATAATAATGTGGTGTTCTTGATTTATTGTGACCTGAGTACGAAAATTCCTTATACACATGAATCAATAAACATGTTCAAAGAACATTTCGATTCGCGTCATAAATTGAACAATACACATATCCATTCAATAATACGTATGTAAAACATTATAAACACGTATTCATTCAATAAAATGTCAATTTTAATCCATTTAATTTGCTATGCACGCAAACAATCCCGACAGGCAGATCCTAAATTATTTAAGTAAGGCGACATATTTTATGAGCTCATCAAACCAAAATCATCCCCGGCGATGGTTTTCTATCCATTCCTACTACCTTTTCCCTTCTGGGAAATGAAAATGGATTCCCTATTCCCATTAGACGACAAGTTTGGTTGGAAAAAATAAAAATAAAAGAAATGAAATGGAGAGAGATGGAATTTTTTTTTTTTTTTTTTTTTTTTTTTTTTTGGCTGTGTTTGGTGTAAAATGTTTGAAGGAAAATAAATGGAATTAAATAATTTAGAGTGATACATTAAAGTTTAACCTTTCTTATCTCCTCAAATTTTGGAAAGAGTGAATGAAAAGACTATTATTTTTAATAAAACTTTATTAATTAATAATGTGTCCTTATTTTTATAAAATACAAAATTTGTCATTTTCCTTCTTTTACTTCATTGAATCATTAATCAACCAAACATACAATTCTTCTCGTTTCATTTCCCTTCTTTTATTTTCTTTTCTTTAACAATCAATGTCCTTTTTATTCTTTTCACTGTACCAAACATAGCGCTAGTTCCTTAAGTGTGATATCTTCTCATTTAATTTCCCTTCTTTTATTTTATTTTCTTTAACAATCAATGTCCTTTTTATTCTCTTCCACTGTACCAAACATAGTATGCGGAATTTGATCCCAAATCTCTTGTAGAGCATCCTACAATTCTCCTGCAGGAAGGATCATTTTCAGCTGGTCATATATTTCTCCTCTGAAGAAACAATTATTGCAGGAACACTTCTAAACTGATTTAAGGAGATAAATCTTACGACCTACGAGATTAGGTTAAAGAGAAAACACAACCAAAAAGGAAGGAAAATTATGGTTGTCTGTCATTCTTGAACATGTGGAAGTGGCAAGAAAATGCATGAAGACCCACAGCTAACACAATTCCCACAACATTGACCATCTGACATGAATCTCCTTAAAATGATGGCAATGATAAACAATCAGGAGAGTAACGCCGACCGGGTCCGTGGGGGAGCCAGATGGAAGGGAAGGGAAAAGTATAGGTGTGAATCCATGGCAGAGCTCTCTCTCTCTAGAATTCTAGAGAGAAGCTCCCCCAACCCCCAACAACCAAAAGAAAAACTACTGTATAACTGCCCTGCTTTTATACATGCACTGAACTTGACCAATCTCTCACTGGGAAAAAAATGTGTTTAATAAAGCCACATTTCTGGTAATTAAGAAAATTAAGAGCATCCGGTATGCATCATACACCTTCTTTATCTATTTTTTAAAAAATAGAGTACCACATAAGCATTATTTAATAAATAAAATACTTACATGGTACTCTACTTTTTTATTGAAAATTGTTCTACGGTATGCAACATCAATATCTCATGTTGAGAAAATGAACCAAAAGCTAACAAAGAAAATATTAAAATATTATAACATGGATATATATTATCATGTGATTGTCTAACTGCAGAGAACGAAACAGACAATAACAGGTGAGGACCACTAATTAAGGACTCTATCATTCACCCATACCAGCCCCCTCTTTCTCTACTTTACTGAAATCTACTCTACATTTATCCCGACCTCGGATGCTCTAAGGTTTTCGCATGAAATCCGTTGGATCAATGCTTTGAACTCTCCTTTACATGGGAAGATCACACCCCGTATTCTCTATAAAAACAGTTATCCTAGGGAAAATTCTCTGATAACTCTCCTCTCTCAAAGGGGAGGTGAGGGGTTCGACCTTCTTAGTATGGAGAATTTGTGAAATGTGTGTACTTACCAAACCAAAAAAAAAAATCCCATTATGGTTCAACAATACAATCCACATCAAATATATATATATAGTGTAAAGAAACTTAAGGCATACAAATGCTGAGTGTGCATATCAAGAAGCTGAAGTAGGCCTGGTCATATCAAGCAGATCAAGTAGCCATATATATAGTAAATCAATTTCAGGAGTAAAGAACCTGGTATAGAGAGAAACCAACCATGACATCAGGCAAGTTGAAGCAGAATCTAATTGTTTCGAACCTGTACAATCTTGTACATTCAAGTTTAGATTAGCAAGGCAACAGAATAATACAAAGTCAAAATAACAGCTCAAGCAATTGGGAGCAAAATTAGCTTTACAAAGTCAACAGACGCATGAAGGTCATCCATGCAACTTAAGCTGTTTAGTCTACATACATCAGCGCTGAATTCTAAATAATGTACATGTGGTGGTCCAAGATAGATAGATAGATAGATACCGGTGGCTAATGCTAGTAAGAACAACAACACTTCTCAATACGAACAAATGAACATCACTTCTTTAAGAGGTTGCCTGAGAAAATCTTCTTGCAATAGGGACTGGTGCGTAGGGTCATGTGAGGCCGGACTGCTTCAACTAATGAAGCGTGGAGACGTCCCTGTTATGAGATGAAAATAAAAGATTTAGCACACCAAACACAGGCACCCACAAATGCGCGCACACACAACCTGAATTTTCTAGATATTTGAATTGCTAATTTAAATGCCAAGACAAAAAAAAAAAAAAAAAAAACTTAGGTTCATGAAACTGAATCTTTCAGTAGTTCGCCAAATTTCCAGTTGTTGCCCAAAATTTGTCATCTGATTTCACTTCGGTGTGAAAAAGTATTTAGCCAATCATCAACTTTTCAAATTATGCCCCAAAATTAAACTTGATACAACAAAAGTGTGTTGGCAACATGAGAGATGTGTTGGCTCCAAACCTTGGTATATACAAGTGCAGTTTTAATCACGTAGTTGGCATAAGGGTCTTGCAGCAATTGTTCAAAGAGAGGCACCGAGAGAAATTCATTGATTATTCTTGACCGGCTTTCTTCAAAATACTTCACGCACTTCTCAACCACGTGACTGCTGAATTTTTGCATAGAGAGGTATACGTAGTGCCCTTCAAACTGAGAAGTTAACATGGAAGCGGCTGATGGGATCTTAAGCTCTATAATATACTGGACAACATAATTTCTGCAACACAAAAGGACAATACTCAAGTCACATGACAAAATACTGTGCTGAAAGTTTGCAGCTAACAGATATATAATCAAAAGAAAACATTGCTGTGACCCTGCATGACCGAAGAAATGAGAAATTTTAGTGGTGACATAATAATAATAATAATAAATCAACAGTTTCACAAATATAAGATTCTAAACAGCAAGTATGAATAGAAATTACTATCAATTTGAGGTTTACAGGATCCATTAAATGCAACGAAAAATTAGGAAATGGTTAATAATATTAAGAAGTGAAATGTCCAGAACCAATTCCAAAATCACTAGAGCACCCTCATCACTATAACTACAAGCAGTCTGTCTTATTAGAGGCTAAAAGATGTATGCATTCAGGCAGCAATCCAAATCTTCAAAAAGGCACAAAATTGGGCAATAAGAAATAACATGTCCGTTAGTGTAATCACAATGTGATTGTTAAAAAATAATAATAATAAATAGGAAGTAACATGTTCATTAGCGCAACCACAATGTCAATGTTGAAAAATGGTGAAGAAAGTAGCATAAGATAAAATGCATCCATTTAACAATAGGACTAACCCAATGAATGTGAAATATGAAACATGGATATGATTATGAGTTGACAAGGAAAAGCTTGCAAGCACGATATTGCCTCTGAGAAAAGGTGGGTTTAATACAATCAAAGGTGAAAGCTTTTAGAAAAGACATATTACCCCTTTTGGAAAATATAAAATTAAATGGGTGACGATGATGAGAATGGAGGGAGGATGCTACAAGAATATGAGTTGAAGCTGTGAAAAACAACGTAATTGCTAGAGTTTAATAGAAACTCTATATACAACTAACTAGAGAAGAGGACTTGTATAGGTGATTCAATTATTTGAAACTAAAGCTTCATAAATTGAATTTTCTAATATTCTAGAGGCATAAAGCGTACTTCTACAAAGAAACATGTATCACATTCCATCACAGATAAAATCACAATAATAATATAACTGAATAGAAAAAGAAAAGAAAAAGAACCATGGACATATAAAACAGTAGCAACAATTGCTCAAAGGATTAGAAAGTGTTAACAATCATCTACTCTAAAAGCTTAACCTGTTAAAGAGGGTGTAACTTTAATATTTAAATCCTTCAACACGCCCCCTCACATGTGGCCTTCTTTTGGTCTAACACGTGTTTTCCAAATTTTAATTCTCAGGGTGATGGTGAGGTTTGAACTCGAGACCTTTGGCTCTAATACCATGTTAACAATCATCTACTCTAAAAGCTTAAGTTGTTAGAGAGAGTGTAACTTTAATATTTAAATCCTTCAACAGAAAGAATAGGGGATTAGTGAAGTATGACATGTGCCTCACAATTCAAAACATAAAAAGGCACAAAAGCTGCAAACTTATAACTGAGCCTTCATGTGATATTGACCATATTTCTTATCCCTATTTGCATTTCAGTGGATTGGTCTGAAGCAACAAGATGCCAAACAAGTTTATTAGTAAAAGTACGCTCAAAAGAACCAGCAAACCAGCACAAGCATAAGACCTTAATGCCTAAGGCAAAGAATATACCTGTTAAAAACTTGTTTGAATTAGTATGAATTCATTAACTGTAGGCCTAAATAGAAATATAAAGAAAAAAGAATATGGGGACAATGATCAAGTATTCTATAGTTCTGTGATACTGTAAACAATCTCATCTCCTGAACATAGGCTAAACGGGCGTAAAATGTTCATCATTTTTCATAATTAATCCTATACCAACAAAATGCCAAACAAGCTTATTAGAAAAAGTATGCTCAAAAGAACCAGCACAAAGCATAAGTCTAAGAGGCAACCATCAACCTTAATGCCCAAGGCAAAGCCTAAAATTTAACTGTTAAAAACTTGTTTAAATTAGTCTGAATTCTATAGAAAGATAAATATAAAAAATATGGGGGTAATGATCAAGTATTCTATAGTTCTGTGATACTGTAAACAATTTCATCTCCTGAACATAGTCCAAAAGCACGTAAAATGTTCATATTTCATAATTAATCCTATAACTTTAGGCTTTGTGCATCAGAAAAACAACAACAAATTGATATCATCCAGACTCTTTCCACTTACCCAAAAGCATCTTGAGCGAGGAGAAACCCATTAGAGGCAATTTCTGCAACTAATTTTTCACGATATTTCCCAGTTGAATGAGCAATGCATCGATTTAAAACACAACATCCATGTCGATGAGTTGCTATACCAACACAGAACTTTGCAGCAACATCAAAAATGAACTGTCAAAGATAAATAACAGGGGAAGGGGAAAAAGAAAAAAAGACTGAGTATCAATTTGCACAAAAATTAGCGGATTCTGTGAAAAGCATGTTTTGCATGTAGACTAAATATAAGACCATACCAAGAAGGCAAACAAAATTACAGGTTTAATAGAAAGGCTATATCATTGAAGGTTTCCCACAGGTTCAAATTCAATGAAAAGCATATAAATTGATTTTAGATTTTAAAGGTTCCCAAGGGCCCAAACATATAAATAAACCGGGTGTATTCATTCTAACATGAATAAATATGTCAAGAAGGCAAGAAAAAAGACTAAAATCCTGGAACAGCAAGAAGTAGCAGTGAGCATTATCGATTCAGAAAAGCAAGAGAGATCTCCATTTTATAGAACTTCATGAACAATTTTAAGGAAGCATGTGACAATTCACATGGATCCAAGTGAATACATCCCATACAACATTAAGAGGAATGATGGTATATTTTTGAAAGTAGAACACCAATAATCTATTCATGAATGATGAAGGTGAAGAAAGAAACTAAAGACATCAACTTGGTTTAGTACAAATAAGATTAGAGTGAAGATAATATAAGAGTGACCACCAAAGGCTGTAGCCTAGTGGTATCTCCTCTACCTCCCAAAGGGAATGGTGAGGGTTCGAGTCCCCGTAGGGACAAGTGGGTGCGTGAGTTTCTTGCAAATGAAGAAAAAAAAAAAAAAAAAAAAAAAAAAAAAAAAAAAAAAAAGATAATATAAGAGTGGAAATGAGTGGTGTTGGTGAAGTACAAGCATCTTTTACTCACTCTCCATGCCACACCCTATGGACATAAGAAGAGAAGTTTGAGGAGCAACTCTATATGGTATTACACTTTTACGCAATCGTCTACACATTAACTACAGAGTAAAAACAGAACGAAAAAAAATTCAAATTTCAAAAGTGAAATAAAGATGAAACAGAAGAATCACCTCAAGTTAAAATAGTTTTATTGATAGATCGTGCAAAACCTAGAAAAGCTATATTTAGATAATAAAATGCATTTGTAATGTTCTACTTAAATCCATGCAAATTCAAATAAATTGAATCCAGAAAAGCAAAACCATAAAGGAAAATATTACCAGTAGAATTTGAAAGAAAAAGAATCATGCAAGAAAGTATAGGCTGAGACATGAAACGTATAACAAACCATAACCAATTTTTAAATTAAACAATACAAAAATCCGAGGCCTGCCAAGAGGAAGTGTTCTACAGGGCCCATCCATCAATTCCTTAGCATTTAGAATGAAATATTGTTGCTATAGTACCTCAACGATTTCAAATCAGTAAGCGCTCTTTTGGGCGGCATTATACATTTACACAATGTCACACATCAAGTAAATGTAAGGAAAGGTTTCTAATGGTGACAATTGTGTTATAATTCCAGCACCATCATCCATCAGAAGGAAAATTGATAGGATAGCAGAGTGGAAAACGTACAAATTAGCAATGCTTTATGGAGAAGAATAAGGAAATTAGAAGATAACATGTTATACAAATTAGTGCTTTGAGATGATTGAGTGGCTAAACTAGGGGGAAATCCATTAGCAGTAGAAGGTGATTTTTGTTTATTGGCATGGTCTGATTATCCAAGCTGGTAGAGATGAGTAGATTGATATGGTAGGAATTGAAGATGCTTGTTGGCTACAAGATATGAAGCTTCCGGAGATAATTGAAAAATGACCTGTGACAAAATGCCATGGTGAAGCAGGATTCCACTCATTCAAATGATGTGTAACTGATTAGCTAAATTAAATAATTGTTGACCTATTACAGGCACATTAGACTGCATACAAAATATACATAGTATTTGATTATCCTTGTAGAGCTTTCTACTTGAATACAATCACACTCCTCAATTGTGTTCATGCAATTCAAAACAAAATCACAAATAAAGTCTCATGTAGCCAACTGCAGGTAATTGGAACACTGCTGTTTTTGTTTGAACAGCATTATCGAAAGCAATAGCAATCCATAATCAAAAACAGTCTTCACAACATATTAGCTTATTAGGAAATGCTGCACTACGATCAATAGAAACACATGAGAAGTAATTTAGAAATTCAACAAAATGGAAGGAACTAAAGAATAATGTTGATTTGATGATGCATAGTGTTCATTCACAAACAGGTTAAATCTCACTATCATCATTCAGAAGAAAACATAAACACCTTATTATCATCGTTGCTAAGGCATTCCAAGCAATGCTGTAGCACATGATTTCCATTGGGGTCCTTAATGAGATCAAGAAAACCTGGTTTGAGTGCAGACACAAGCAATGTAATCTGCTGCCTGGTTTTGAGAGTCTCAATCAACTTCTGCACCACACGTGTGCTGATACCACAACACAGATTCATTTAGACATAATGAAAGCATTTCAAATATTAACAAAATTCTGCCATGGAAAAGGATTAGAAATTGAAGGACTTACCCATGTGTGTTCAAAGAAATTCTGACAAGTTCTCTGGGTTCTTCAGTCACCATAAACACAATCTGTGTTCTTTGTTCTTCATTGCAGACATCCAATAACTTCTGCATAAGGTAATTTCCAAATGGATTGATCATAAGTTCAACAACATGATTGATAATTTCATTAAATACTATTTGCTTGTCTTGATGGGTTCCTTCTTCAAATATGCTTTGTAAGAAGCGACAACCTTGCTGATCCTTGGCCAGTAAGTACATATAACCCTGTAGCTCAGCCAATGATCTATGATTTAGCTGCAGATTCGAAGTGCTATCACTCAATCCATTTTCAATAATTCCTCCATATTCAGATTGCATATACATGTCCAGTCCTTTCTCTCGCCGATTCAGCATTGCAATCTCATAGTAGGAATCCTTCTTTCGACCATTGCATCGATCACGCCCCTTGTCAGAAACATGTTTCGAACTCCTTCCCTGAAAAATCAAGCTATCTTCACAACTAAAACCCTCAAGATCCGTTGACAAAAGGGATGGAGGGACACAACCATTTGAGATTGCAGTAGTCTTTTGTTTCAACATTGAATGATTATATATTGGGTTTTCCACACTCGAACCAAATTTGGGATTCATCAACCTAGAGGAATTCATTGGATTCAAGATACCCATATCTCCATTAGAATCCAAACCACTTTGTTGTGAGCAATAGAAATCGTCACTCAGATTATTAAGCACACTAGAATATGGACTCTGTACTTGAACTCCATTATTGCAACAGCCCCTTCCTTGCCTCCTTGTTTGATCCATCAGAAAATCTGTCATGTTACTATAGCAACTGGGGTCAGACTGCAAAACATTCGACTGACTTTGAGTGAGACCAGACCTCATCAAATCACCAACATTATATCCCTCTGGCCAACCAACTAGAGTCTTCCTCATATCACCATCCAAACTCGTCAAGTTTCCCTGATTCAACGACTGAAACTCTCCATAATCACAACCATTGTTCCTAAAACCTTCGAATGCGCTATAATTTTCAACATTTCGTGGACTAATACCACTCAAATGCCGATCAGAGAACCCAAACCCAGATGGGTCCGTCTGGAAATTCCCACCCATCAAACACTTCTTGTTCTCATCCCCAATATTGAATCTGTAGAGATTTTCAGATAAATCGTGTTCATACCCATTGGAGTTGTTCACAAACTGAGAATCCGAGTAAAGGGGACTCGGTGTTCCGTACATGGAATCATCAAATGGAGTTAAAGACGGTGAAAACCCATTATCAGAAGAACAAAACCCAGTAGAGGAAGAACAAGACGGACTAATGGGTGAAACACTCATAAGCAGATGATGCTTATTTTGATGACGAAGATTGTGATTGAGAGGGATGTCATTCAACATTTCCAGCGCCCTTTCAACTAGAGCGTTCCCTGAACTCTTCCTTTCTTTCCCAGCTCGTTTATCTGGAAACATCATAAAACCCAAAGATATATATAGATATGTGTGTGTGTGTGTGTGTGTGTGTGTGTGTGTGTGTTATGTATACAGAGTCACAGACTACAGATACAGAGAGTTACAGAGATAATGACACCAAAAATACAGAGAAAAGACAAACTAATCCCAAAACCCAGGTCAGATATGAATTTATAGGTGTTAAGGAATATATATCAACAAGAGATTTCAATCAGTACGCAAAATACAAGAATTTCAGTAGCATTTGTATTTGATTTGGTTTGGGGTTCTTAGGGACGAAGGTAAAGAATCGATATATATATATATATAATATTATATAGAGAGAGAGAGACAAAGATGGGTTTTGATTTCGACGGATTGTTTTGAGTGGAAAAGCGTACAGTCTGTTAGTGTTCATTGTCACGCCATTAAGATGAAGAGAGGAGGAAATGGCAATATGCAAAGACACATACACGGAAAAAGGAGGAGAGAGAATGGGGCAAGACTAGGCATTCACAGTCTTCTGAGATGGAAGGGTTTTAATATTTATTTTAGTTAAGTTTATTAATTTTTAATTAATGACTAGTAATTGTTTTAGTTATGTTTTTTAATTTTTAATTTTTAATTTTTAATTTTTGATTTTTGATTAGTTATTGTTTAGTCAACTTTGATAGGAATTCCTATTTAGGATTTGCATCCAAAACAGATAGCTGCTAAACCTCCTTTATAGTAACGAAGTAACAAACCAACCTTAATTTTCTCCCTTATGTTGATCTGTTACACAATGACTAAGGTACCCTTGTCATTTATAATTAATTTTCTCTCAATCCGTTACAATAGGACTAAAATACCCTTTATCATTTACCAAAACCTCCATTTTTTTTTTTTTTTTTCTTTTTTGTCTATTTCATACAAACCCATCTACCATATAATTGCCTAATTTTATATTTTTTTTTCTTTTTTGGTTCAAGTAGAGGGCATGAATGACTATGTATTATACACCTAAATTCAAACTATCCAAGATGTATGAGGTTCAACTTTCACAAGATGCAACAATACTTGTGCTTCTTCATCGCCTTGCTAGATTGTATTTATTGAGAATCTACACGTACCAAGTCACCACTCACCAAATTAGAAGGATTTTTTTTTTTTTCTTTTTTCATAGAGGAGGTATCCCCACACTTTACGGGTGAGACTAATCTACATCAGGGCATACTCAATACCCTCACAAGTCACCGGACAAATTCAAGACTCAATCTGACTACAACTTAATCTGTGTAAGTACCTCTGTAAAAATTATTTACCCAGAAACTCAAACCCGTGATACTTTGTATTATTCACTTGTAATAAGTATAAAATTAAATTAAAGAAAACTCCATCATTTTAATGGAAAATCTCATTTTAAACTAACTATGCAGTACAAATAATAAATAGGGCTTTTATTGTAGTGAGAGATAATCAGTTCTTTGATTAATGTGTTAATTAATACAGTATATAGCTACGATAACACTCACTATTGTTGACCATAATTTTTCTTTAATTTTGATAATGTTTGCAACAAGTTGGTTCAAAAAATGAACATATATAATTCACTAAAATTACTATTTACAAATATACTTTTGGGGAGAAATTTGTTGTATGTACACTTCAAAATTCTAGAAGTTACTCCAAACATAACTTCATATATATATATATATATATTAACTTTTCGAAAAAAATACAAATTTAAATTGCAATATATTTAAATCCATGAATTGGTGTACAACACTGAATTTCAACTCGGAGTGGGACTCAATTACGAAAAATGTGTCACACTCCAGCTAGAGAGAATCTCTACCTCTAATAAGAGTACTATATTGGGTAAAATTCCAAATACATAATGGATAAAGTACTTGCTATGCTATTATCATTCCAATCGCTTGGTGCCCAAGAAAGAGGACTATCATGTCTTTTTACATGTCAGATTGGGACTCTGTGGTTTGCTGAAACGTGCCCACCTTGGTTTCTACTTTATTGATTACTTTGACTAGAGTTTGAAAAGGGTTTACTTCAATTTCTTAATAAATCAAATAGTGAAAGATATTATTTTCAAATCTAATATTTTAATATACAAGAATTTCTATTTTATATTAAGAATTATATGGCAACGGTGAAGAGAGAAAAAAATTTGAAATCCCTTTGAGCCACCTTAACGCTGTATGTGGTGGGAAGGAAGAAATGTGAAGAGAAAATAAATAAAAAAAAGAATGAACTTCTTTTAATTGGTAGAGATGATATAAAAAAAGAAATAAAAATAAGAACAAAAGAAAAAGGATGAGTCATGCTTCCTCCTTTACAAATTTTTATTCACGAAAAAAAGGAGGGAAGACATTGTTGTAGAACAAAACATAAGGAATTTTCCTGATAATTGTTCAATGTATGCTTCTTGAAAACAGGGAATTTAAATTCTCTTGAAACCACCCCTAGAAAAATTTTCTAGTTATAACGCGGAGCTGGTGAGACGAGTATGCATGTATTCAGTAATGAATTATGTAATAGGCTTAGAAGCCCAACTGAGAAAAAATAATAATATACAAATAAACAGAGGGCCATTTTACCATTTTGTATAAATGGACTATACTGTTTATATAGATATGGTAAAGGGTGCATCACTTGTGATAATTATTCATCGAGATTTGTATATCATTTGTGATAATTACGTAGAAATATATCACTTGTAATACTTATCAAACCAAACCAATCGAAACTGATCTTATACAACCTGGGTTGTTTCGGATTATGTTATTTCATTGATCGGTTCAATTTCAATTTTGTTAGAACTGTTAAATTGTTTTGATTCTAGGATACTCTCAACAAACAAGTTGAACTTTGTGCACAGATGTCAATTGATCTGATCCCCCACAATAGTTCGATTCCAATTTAAAAAATAGTTAAACCGTTAAGATTGATTAGTAACCCAAACAAACCAATTAATTTGAATTAACAGTTGTTATGCATAAGTGCATATATATATATATATATATATAAGTGGGCAACAGTTCATTTATTAAAGATAAAAAATAGTATTAATTAGAATATGTGGAAAATAATTGTATGAAAAAATAAAAAAATGTATACACATTACAAGTAGAATAGATAAAATTAAATTTGACATTCACATGTCCTGATATTTCCAGTAAATTATAAATCATTACAAATAAATAAAAATAGACACATTAATTTTAGAGAATAAAATAATGACATGACACAATAACTTTAGAAAGTGGTGGTATGCAATGAATAATTTTTCATAATTTCTCCTTTTATTGGAGATTAAAAAAAAAAAAGTACTAATTATATATCATTTGTTTCATCTTAGAAATATATAAAAGAAAGGAAGTCAGTACAATATCCCAATAGAACATTTAAATTAGATGGATTTTTGTGTGTATTATAGAGTCTTAAAATGGAGATATCATAAATAAATGAATATTATATATAATTTAAGTTATGCCTAATATGATCATAAATGTTCACTCCAAGCACAACTAAGAACTGGAACTGATAAACAAGTGACCCCATAAGTTTAACAATATTGGTCAATTTAAACTACCGTTTTAGAGGTCAAATATACATAAATGCTAGTAATTCACAATATTCCATATTTACTTTATTTCTCTAAAGTTGCTTCATGAATTCTTATTTAATGTTATAATCTTAACTTTTTCAAATTTAATGTTATAATCTTAACTTTTTCAAATTTAATGTTAACTCAAATGACTGTTACATTTGCCTCTTAGTTTGCTAAATTATAACATGACATATTAATTTTAGATATATATAAAATTAAAAAAAAAAAATAAAGTAGAATAAAAAGAAAGAGCATAACATTTCTCTCTCAAGTCACTACATAAGTTATTTTTTTACAAAATACAGTATTAATTAGAATATGTGAAGAAAAGGTATATAAACAATTAAAATTTTATACACAATTTTTTTTTTTTTTTTTACTTTACTCCTTTAAGGATTTAAACACTCACTATTAACTTTAAAAAGTATAAAAGATATCACTAACCACAAAACAATTGGTCTATACTCTATACACATTGATAAGTAGTATATATATATATATATAAAGAAATATATAATATATTCGTTGATCCATACTTATTGGATTAAAATATACTAAACAAAGGTTATACGAACATATTTAGAGCGGTGTTTAGAACACTAAACAAATATTTTTCTAACCTAACCTTTCTTTAATTTTTTTTGAATATTTTAATAAAATTATATTATTATATTTATTTATTTTGTCATTGGCAAGAAACTCACACACAGAAGTGGAGCCCAAAAAAACGTTTTTAAGATTTTTACCATACTCCTAAAAATAGTTAATTTACCAAATAAAATTTAAACAAAAAAATTTTGAGAAACATAAATTTTTGTTATTATGATAGTACACTCATAATTACTTCATTTACATATACACATGTATATTAATTTAAAAGAGAAAAATACATTGATGTCCCCTCATTTTTAATAAAAATGCATTCACTTGTTTTCTCTTTTTGTCACACATTTTAGTTTTACGGTTTTTACAATTAAAATATCTAAAATTATATACTAATCACTATTTGCGAGTTTTGGGTTGTGAGACCTAAATGGCAAAATGTCAATAACAACAACGATATCATATATGTATAAATTTTTCTAATTGTCACTTTCTAAATGACAAATTGTATGGCTATTAATTTTTTGAATAAGTTACTAATTAAAGTTATAGAACTTGTGTAATTTTATTTAGTTAAAATTATTATTTTTCTGAATCTTTCATGAAGATAATAATGATATATTTTTTCAAAAGTAAAATCAAAGTAGTCAAAAGGTTTTTCCAAAATGACTTTTTGAATAATTAAACAATTATCAAAGAAAATTTGATTCTTTAACAATACGCTCTTTATCTCTTCATTTTGTACTTAAAAATTATCGTTTACTACTCTATATATTTCTTTCTCATATCTTTTTTTTTTCTGTTTATTAAAGTTGCATTTATTTTTTTCATTTTAAAATTTTCTATAGGTATATATATTATGAATATATACTATATGCAAATTATATTACAATTTATTTTAAAAATAAATTTTAATTACATTACAAGTTCCACCCCCCAAACTAAAATTCCTGGCTCCGCCCCTACTTACACACACACCATTCACACACTCACTTTGCTCCTTTTGGAAAATAGAGGAGATACCACTGGACCACAAGGCTCTTGATAAATTATATTATTGATTATTGGCCTACCGCATAGAGAAAGTGTATAATACCCAGATTATATTTAGTGTGTGGCCCGTCAATGCACAATCATTTTTTTTTTCTTCTAAAAACTTCTCATTTCTTGTGTATCAAAGCAACCTGAGAGTTTCCAAATATTTGCATTGATGAGGGGTATCACACACTAAATACCTTTGAGTATTACATGCTTTATAGTCAATATGATTCTTTTGTTACTAAATATGAACATATTTTAGAAACGGAAATTAGAATTCCACTCTCTAGGTACATGCTATAAGAAATTTCAAGTTT